CCTCTCCCCTACACGTGCACACACCCACTCCGAGAATTGGCTGCGGGGAGAGGGCATTCTCTAAGCCTTGTCCCCGACAATCTGTTACACTGATCGGCTCCCTTTTTCTTCCCCACCCAGTTGCCTTGGTGTGTCCCGTTCGCCCCCTGCATCTCCCCTCGGGTCTCCGTCTTTCTGACGGTGTCACTCTGTGTCAGTCAACAAACTTTCTGCTTAGTGCTGAGAATCCAATGGTGGACAGAGATTTGGTGTATTACTTTCCCTGATGCTACTGGAGTCTCTTTTCCCACGATCTGTGAATTTTTTTTCTATACGTCTCTCTCTGGAAGGTCTCTTCCTCTTGACTTTGTCTCTTTCCTTCTATTTGTGAAGATTCTTATTCTCAATTTTCTCTCACTTTCTCCCCCTCCCCCCCCCTCTCTCTCTCCCCCTTTCTCCCTAGATCTGTTTTCCTTTCCCTGTCCGAGAACGTCTGTTTCCATTTCTCTCTTTCTTGGGCTGTGTGTCTCCATCAATGCCTGTCACCTCTCTGGGTCTTAGTGTTAGGAGGATCAATCTCTGCCCCTCTCTCTGACTGTTCCTGCCTCTCTTCTCTCTCCCACATCCCTGTCTTTATACCTGCTTGTCTGTTTCTCTTTATGGCTAATCTGTTGGGCTTGCCTCTTTCTCCTCAATCTGTGGTTTAATGTTTCTCTTTGCCTGTCCTTCTCTGGTTCTGTCAATCTCTCTGTCGCTAGGGAAAAGCTCTGAATATTTGCCTCTGTCTCTCCTCCCTGTATCTCTTTGTGATTCAGCGTCTCTCCGTTTTCTCTTCTCTGTCCCTTTCCCTCTGATCCACTATTTGTCCCTCTGGCCCTGTGACTGTTCCTGGGGCTCACTCCTCTGTAGCTCCCTGGGAATCAATGTCCTGGAGGTTGCTTCTCCATGTCTCTGGCTCTGGTCATCTTGATCTCTGGGGTTGGTTCCTCTCCACCTGTGTCTCCCCGAGTGATTCCATCTCTGGGGTTCCCCCCGTTGTCTCCCTAGGACTATTCATCTCTGGGGGTCGCCCCCGGCCCCAGTACTCTGTCTCTGGGGGTCGGCCCGCCCACCACTCCCGAGCGTCCAGCCCCAGGACTCTCCGTCTCTGGGGTCGCTCCCCGAGTTTCCCTGGGAGTGCGTGCACCCCGGTTGCCGGCTGCGTGCATCCTCCCCGCTACCCGTCCGCTGGGCGGTGTCCTCCACTCGCGCGCGCTTCCGGGGTCGGGGCACGCGGAGGCCGCACTGTTGCCAGGACAACCAAGGCCCGCCCCGAGCTGCGGGCGCAGTGCACCCTGGGACCTGCAGTCCGCGTCGCGCTCAGGCAGAGCCCGGGCGCGGCCCGGACCTTCCTTTCCCGGCGAGCCGCGCGCGGTGGGCGGGGCCGCGCGGTGGGCGGGGCCGCGAGGTAGGCGGGGTCCCGCAGGCGCGGCCGCCGGGTGCTGAGCGCTCCCTCTGTAGGCGTGGGTCCTCTGCCCTCGCCCCAGCTCCAGGATTTCGGCTGGCAGACCCTGGAGACTGGACTAGGAGCCCCTCCGCCCTCTAGGCCAGCGGCCTCGGCCCTTTCCCGAGTGCCCAACGCTTTCTCCGCCCCCGTGGTGATGGTGATAGCTATTCTTTCTGGTGCCTTCCGGAGGCCGGGGCAGGGGAGGGGAAGGAGAAGCCCTCTGAGAAGGCGGCTGGGGTGCAGGTCGGACTCCCGCAGAGATGAAGCAGCTTTGCTTTACCCAAAAGGAATGTGCCCTACTTGGCCCTACCCCGCCTTCTTCCAAACTTTTCAGTATCTCTTCCTAATTGCTTTTGCAGGTGTAAGGGCACAAAGGAGGTTGCGTGATTTTGGAGTTTTCCTAGATATTGTCCTCAGTTTGGGGAACCAGGACCTGTGGGACAGAGGTTCACGGCAGGAGTACTACACTCAATCAGGGTGTGTGGTCAGGCGCACCCAGCAGATAAGACCATGGAGCTGATGATAGCAGGAATGTTGGCAGGCTCAGAACCTGAAGGCCTTGAATGCCACTGAGGGTTTTTGATAGCACCTGTAGGCACGTGGGGTGAGATGTGGAAGGATTTCAACAGGACAGGGCAGGATCAGCTATGGATGTTGGGAAATTCTCTGAGGCTAGGGAAGGCCAGAGGTAAGATGGTCAAGGAGGCTGGGGCAGTAGCTCAGGTGGGGAACAGATGTAAATGGTACTTAGAAGGAATAGAGAGTGTTTTAGACCAGGTGCTTGGGTTCTCAGCTCTGAGAGTCTGTGGCTGGGCAGGGAACCTGGGAGGAAGAGTTGATGTTGGAGAAAAGATGCTGCACTCAGTGGGACACTGTGTTTCTGAGGTGCTCAAGGGACACCAAGGAAGGGAAAATCTTGTTCATTTTTAATCCCATCCAGCCCTAATGGCTTGGGGAGGAATCCAGAAGACCCAGATTCTGCTATGTTAGCTTTGTTTTTTTTTTGGCAGGGGAGAGGGTGCTGGGGGTTGAACCCAGAAGTGCCTTACCACTGAGCCACATCCCCAGCCCTTTTTATTTTTTGAGACAGGGTCTCACTAACTTGCTTAGGGCCTTGCTAAGTTGCCCAGGCTGGCCTTGAACTTGTGATCCTCCTGCATTTAGTTGCTGGGATTAAAACACCCTGCACAGCTAGGTTTTTCGGATGTGGCCAGGATCATCTTGGTTCCAACCTCCTCCTCCATCAGACTGAGAAATCTGTCTGGACATCACCACTCTCCTGGAGTCCTCCCCAGAAATAAAGAAAGCACAAGTTCTCCTTTTATCTTTATATTGAGATTTTTATAAAGAACATTATGGATGTGGGAGTGGGGAAGGGACAAGGCTTTGATGACTGACAGCACAAGCTATTGGAACCAAAAGCTCCAGGGAATTAAAAAAAATAAAATATATATTTATACATTTATATATCACATTATGCATGTGAGTCCCAGAGAAGCAGGAAGCAGCAGCAAGAAGCATCTAGCACACAGAAACACACGTGCACATGCAC